AAGTTACCAAGGTACAACCCAGAAATAAGTTTACCAGATACAACTCAGAAATAAGTTAACCAGATACAACCCAGAAATAAGTTACCAAGGTACAACCCAGAAATAAGTTAACCAGATACAACCAAGAAATAAGTTACCAAGATACAACTCAGAAATTAGTGTAGAAGATACAACCCAGAAATAAGTTTACCAGATAATTTTGACTGTTTTTTCCACAGTCGACTGTATGTTGATATTTTCCCACAGTCCTTCTGACTTTGAGATAATGAGGTTAGACTGTATGTTGATATTTTCCCACAGTCCTTCTGACTTCGAGATAATGAGGTTAGACTGTATGTTGATGTTTTCCCACAGTCCTTCTGACTTTGAGATAATGAGGTTAGACTGTATGTTGATATTTTCCCACAGTCCTGCTGACTTTGAGATAATGAGGTTCAACTATATGTTGATATTTTCCCACAGTCCTACTGACTTTGAGATAATGAGGTTCGACTGTATGATGTCAGATTCTCTTTTAAATCAAAATTTCTCACTTGTTTTGTCCATCAGAAATAAATACAAAATCTCACATTAAGTCCCTTGTTATTTAAAGGAATAGAAATTTGTTTACTTCAATATGTGAAGGTCAATAAAGAAATTTATTCCTATCAACATTCCATACTCTTCATCTTGTAAAATATCATTTATTATGTAATTACATTTTCTTTGATGGCAAAAAGAGAGGTACTCCGCTGCTATAGTTCTGTACAGGTGTGTGGTCTTAAGACAAGTGGTTCACTGTTATAGTTCTGTACAGGTGTGGGGTCTTAAGACAAGTGGTTCACTGTTATAGTTCTGTACAGGTGTGGGGTCTTAAGACAAGTGGTTCACTGTTATAGTTCTGTACAGGTGTGGGGTCTTAAGACAAGTGGTTCACTGTTATAGTTCTGTACAGGTGTGGGGTCTTAAGACAAGTGGTTCACTGTTATAGTTCTGTACAGGTGTGGGGTCTTAAGACAAGTGGTTCACTGTTATAGTTCTGTACAGGTGTGGGGTCTTAAGACAAGTGGTTCACTGTTATAGTTCTGTACAGGTGTGGGGTCTTAAGACAAATGGTTCACTGTTATAGTTCTGTACAGGTGTGGGGTCTTAAGACAAGTGATTCACTGCAATAGTTCTGTACAGGTGTGGGGTCTTAAGATAAGTGATTCACTGCAATAGTTCTGTACAGGTGTGTGGTCTTAAGACAAGTGATTCACTGTTATAGTTCTGTACAGGTGTGTGGTCTTAAGACAAGTGATTCACTGTTATAGTTCTGTACAGGTGTGGGGTCTTAAGACAAGTGGTTCACTGTTATAGTTCTGTACAGGTGTGGGGTCTTAAGACAAATGGTTCACTGTTATAGTTCTGTACAGGTGTGGGGGTCTTAGTTGATTCACTGTAGTTCTGTACAGGTGTGGGGTCTTAAGATAATTGATTCACTGCAATAGTTCTGTACAGGTGTGGGGTATTAAGACAAGTGTTTCACTGTTATAGTTCTGCACAGGTGTGGAGTCTTAAGACAAGTGATTCACTGTTATAGTTCTGTACAGGTGTAGGGTCTTAAGACAAGTGATTCACTGCAATAGTTCTGTACAGGTGTGCGGGTCTTAAGATAAGTGATTCACTGCAATAGTTCTGTACAGGTGTGGGGTCTTAAGACAAGTGATTCACTGTTATAGTTCTGCACAGGTGTGGAGTCTTAAGACAAGTGATTCACTGCAATAGTTCTGTACAGGTGTGGGGTCTTAAGACAAGTGATTCACTGTTATAGTTCTGTACAGGTGTGGGATCTTAAGACAAGTGATTCACTGTTATAGTTCTGTACAGGTGTGGGATCTTAAGACAAGTGATTCACTGTTATAGTTCTGTACAGGTGTGGGGTCTTAAGACAAGTGATTCACTGCAATAGTTCTGTACAGGTGTGGGGTCTTAAGATAAGTGATTCACTGCAATAGTTCTGTACAGGTGTGGGGTCTTAAGACAAGTGATTCACTGTTATAGTTCTGTACAGGTGTGGGGTCTTAAGACAAGTGATTCACTGTTATAGTTCTGTACAGGTGTGGGGTCTTAAGACAAGTGATTCACTGTTATAGTTCTGTACAGGTGTGGGGTCTTAAGACAAGTGATTCACTGTTATAGTTCTGTACAGGTGTGGGGTCTTAAGACAAGTGATTCACTGTTATAGTTCTGTACAGGTGTGGGGTCTTAAGACAAGTGATTCACTGTTATAGTTCTGTAAGGTGTGTGTTCTGTTCACATAGGTGTGTGGGTCTTAAGACAAGTGATTCACTGTTATAGTTCTGTACAGGTGTGAGGTCTTAAGACAAGTGATTCACTGTTATAGTTCTGTACAGGTGTGGGGTCTTAAGACAAGTGATTCACTGTTATAGTTCTGTACAGGTGTGGGGTCTTAAGACAAGTGATTCACTGTTATAGTTCTGCACAGGTGTGGAGTCTTAAGACAAGTGATTCACTGTTATAGTTCTGTACAGGTGTAGGGTCTTAAGACAAGTGATTCACTGCAATAGTTCTGTACACTGCAATAGTTCTGTACAGGTGTGGGGTCTTAAGATAAGTGATTCACTGCAATAGTTCTGTACAGGTGTGGGGTCTTAAGACAAGTGATTCACTGTTATAGTTCTGTACAGGTGTGGGGTCTTAAGACAAGTGATTTCACTGTTATAGTTCTGTACAGGTGTGGGTCTTAAGACAAGTGATTCACTGTTATAGTTCTGTACAGGTGTGGGGTCTTAAGACAAGTGATTCACTGTTATAGTTCTGTACAGGTGTGGGGTCTTAAGACAAGTGATTCACTGTTATAGTTCTGTACAGGTGTGGGATCTTAAGACAAGTGATTCACTGTTATAGTTCTGTACAGGTGTGAGGTCTTAAGACAAGTGATTCACTGTTATAGTTCTGTACAGGTGTGGGGTCTTAAGACAAGTGATTAACTGTTATAGTTCTGCACAGGTGTGGAGTCTTAAGATAAGTGATTCACTGTTATAGTTCTGTACAGGTGTGGGGTCTTAAGACAAGTGATTCACTGCAATAGTTCTTGTCCAGGTGGGGCGTGATCAATTCTTATTGAGAGAGGTGGTTCACTGGGATATTTGTGTCCTGGTATAAGACTTTATCATTACTTATTGAGATAAGTGATTCACTGCAATAGTTCTGTACAGGTGTGGGGTCTTAAGACAAGTGATTCACTGTTATAGTTCTGTACAGGTGTGGGATCTTAAGACAAGTGATTCACTGTTATAGTTCTGTACAGGTGTTGATTCACTGTTATAGTTCTGTACAGGTGTGGGGTCTTAAGACAAGTGATTCACTGTTATAGTTCTGTACAGGTGTGGGGTCTTAAGACAAGTGATTAACTGTTATAGTTCTGCACAGGTGTGGAGTCTTAAGATAAGTGATTCACTGCAATAGTGGTATAAGACAGGTGTGGGGTCTTAAGACAAGTGATTATCATTACTTATTGAGAGAGGTGGTTCACTGGGATATTTGTGTCCTGGTATAAGACATTATCATTACTTATTGAGAGAAGTGGTTCACTGGGATATTTGTGTCCAGATATGGGGTCGGATCAATACTTGATTCATAAGTAGATCATGGTGCCTGGTAAAAATCTGTCTCAGTAATTTAAAAATTCTCATGGCTGATATCAGAATGAATGGATGTTGTGTCATTTAATCTTGCTATAAACCAGCATATAACCTTTGATATTGTAATGGTGTGTATTGTCGTTAACATCAACATGCTCCCTACCATAGCCAGGGTAAATACAGACCTGTCTCCACAGTGGGTATTGGAACCAAGTCTTGTTATCATAGTCAGGGTAAATACAGACTTGTCTCCACAGCCAGTAATAGAACCAAGTTTTGTTATCATAGTCGGGGTAAATACTGACCTGTCTCCACAGCCAGTAATAGAACCAAGTCTTGTTATCATAGTCAGGGTAAATACTGACCTGTCTCCACAGCCAGTAATAGAACCAAGTCTTGTTATCATAGTCAGGGTAAATACTGACCTGTCTCCACAGCCAGTAATAGAACCAAGTCTTGTTATCATAGTCGGGGTAAATACAGACCTGTCTCCACAGCCAGTATTGGAACCAAGTCTTGTTATCATAGTCAGGGTAAATACAGACTTGTCTCCACATTGGGTATTGGAACCAAGTCTTGCTATCATAGTCAAGGTAAATACAGACCTGTCTCCACAGTGGGTATTGGAACCAAGTCTTGTTATCATAGTCGGTGTAAATACAGACTTGTCTCCACAGCCAGTATTGGAACTAAGTCTTGTTATCATAGCCAGGGTAAATACAGACTTGTCTCCACAACCAGTATTGGAACTAAGTCTTGTTATCATAGTCAGGGTAAATACAGACTTGTCTCCACAACCAGTATTGGAACTAAGTCTTGTTATCATAGTCAGGGTAAATACAGACCTGCCTCCACAACCAGTAATAGAACCAAGTTTTGTTATCATAGTCAGGGTAAATACAGACCTGTCTCCACAACCAGTAATAGAACCAAGTTTTGTTATCATAGTCGGGGTAAATACTGACCTGTCTCCACAGTGGGTATTGGAACCAAGTCTTGTTATCATAGTCAGGGTAAATACAGACCTGTCTCCACAACCAGTAATAGAACCAAGTTTTGTTATCATAGTCGGTGTAAATACAGACCTGTCTCCACATCCAGTAATAGAACCAAGTCTTGTTATCATAGTCAGGGTAAATACAGACCTGTCTCCACAACCAGTAATAGAACCAAGTATTGTTATCATAGTCAGGGTAAATACAGACCTGTCTTGTTATCATAGTCGGGGTAATACAGACTTGTCTCCACAGTGGGTATTGGAACCAAGTCTTGTTATCATAGTCGGGGTAAATACTGACCTGTCTCCATAGCCAGTATTGGAACCAAGTCTTGTTATCATAGTCGGGGTAATACAGACTTGTCTCCACAGTGGGTATTGGAACCAAGTCTTGTTATCATAGTCGGGGTAAATACTGACCTGTCTCCACAGTGGGTATTGGAACCAAGTCTTGTTATCATAGTCAGGGTAAATACAGACTTGTCTCCACAACCAGTATTGGAACTAAGTCTTGTTATCATAGTCAGGGTAAATACAGACTTGTCTCCACAGCCAGTAATAGAACCAAGTCTTGTTTTCATAGTCGGGGTAAATACAGACCTGTCTCCACAATCAGTAATAGAACCAAGTCTTGTTATCATAGTCAGGGTAATACTGATCAAACTCCACACCAAACAAGTAGTAGTGGAAGGGGGTAGGAGTCTGGGGGGGTGGGGGAGTGGGTGAAGGGTGTGGAAGAGGAGGAGAAAAAGGCTGTAGAGGGTATAGGAAGGGAAGCAGTGGAGGTATCAGATAAGGGAGAGGGAGATGAGTCCTGGGATTATGTTTCTATTTTTTCATTAGAAGTACTAAGGGAATTGGCAGATTATGGTATAGAAAATCCAATGTTACGGTGAAAACACCAATTAGCCCATACAAGTTAGTCCCTAGGTACTGCCCAATGTTAAAACCATTTGTCCACTGGACCTGTCTGACCTTTTACTCCTGATGTAGGATAATGTCTGTATACACAGTACATTTCCCAATACCATAGACAGATGGTTAGGAGATTGTCACTTCATGATTTTTCCTGAAGGGACTCGGACAGGAATGGATTTTCTCACAACATAGTTAAACGATTAAGTTGTGACCACCCTTGGTACTTATTGACCTAAACCTTCTTTGATATATCTTGTTTTATATAGAGGTTCAACACTGAAAAAAAATCCTTAGGAAAGAAGCTTTATCAGCTCTTATAATTCTTTTAAAGTGATATTGACTTTCTGTTAGGGAGAGAAGCCAATTAGAACGTGATATTAACTACGTGTTAGCAGAGGAAGGTAATTAAAAAGTGATAATGACTGACTATTTTTACTGCTTTACAGACTACAGACTGTGTTGATCCATCTGACTGTGTGTCCATGTAGTTATGTATCTGTCCATCTATCTATGTGACTGTCTATTTTGCTGTGTGTTTTCCCACCAATGTGACTGTCGTCTGTCTGTAATCCATCTGTCTGTGTTCCTTTCTGTCCTTCTGGGTGTCTATCTATCTGTCTTTAATACTTTGGGGTTGAGACAAAAAATAGATGTTTGCTTACAGAATTCTATTTTTGGATGAGAGATCTTTGTGGATTCTGAAAGATTACTTTTAACATTCCGTGATTGACCTACTTTCATCAGTGTTAAGAAGACATATATAGCTTAACTTCCCTCAAATAAATCAAATATAGAATTCAGAATACTAAGATCCTGTTTCTTAAATACAACAAGAAACTTTGAAAAAATTTTAAAATCGGTATTAACACCTGAAATGATTTTCCAAACAACTTCATAATTTGTCTATATTTTGATAGCTAAATACTTATATAACATAGTTTATTGACTCAGGTATTGTAATATGAGAATCATGTTAGGGATGATGAGACAAGTTTTACAGAACTGAATCTGTTTCATATTAATGCTTGAACTATCATCTTTCAGACTTGGAACAAAATTTGTGTACACAAATTGATTACATCACAATATGTGGGGTCTTGAATTACAAGGAAATAAATATCTCTGTGATATTAATTGCTATTCTATTAATTTCTTGTACTGCATGAGGATGAATTTTCAGTTTATTTCCAAAATTATGAGCAGGTTTGATAATCAGATATATAGTATACACTGGTTTATAGGATAACTCAATCTTGTGAATTGTAGGAAAACCCTGTTTATTATGTTGTTGTTATTACAACAGGCTGGCATTTTGAAGTGTGTTTATTATCCATCTGTGGAAACAATAACATAAAAGTAGAATAACTAAGGTGAAGTTGAAGTGACGTAGAAATTAATTACCAAGGTTGTTACTTGTGTTGAGTGCAATATAAACTAGTGCTAATTATGTAGGGTGGAGATTATTTCTAAACAAGGAATCGATGAAAGAAAGTCTAGATTTCAATTTCCATAAACTCAAATTATCTCTCTCAGAAAATGCTGATGAATCTTACATAAAACCAGGCTTAATAGTTTTGACCTATGGTTCAGGAGTAAATCCAGTAACTACAAGAAGATATTTGACTTTGAAGCAAGTGCATCAAGCAGTTTAATTCATTCTTAAGATCTTCTGTATCTAATTTCAATTTTTTTATAGAAAAGTGCTACATGTGTATGTATTTTGTACAATCTTTGAACACATCTGAAAACCATGATTAATATCAATAAATGACTAAAAATACAACCAACATTGATGTAATACGCGCCATTAAGGAATTTTGATATATTTAGTGACATCCTTGTCAAGGTTGAAGTTGGACAGGCCTTCTAGAACCTCTCTAATTTTTTTTTTCAGGTCAGTGATGTGAATGATGACGTAAGAAGAGTAGCAGTGACCTCCCTTGGATTCCTGCTGTTTAGGTCAGTGTCTTTGTTATTTCAGCAGTATGGCCCTAAATTTGTGCTTAAAGGAGATGTGTGTCTACTTGTAACATCTTCTAGAGAGTCTGACGACTGACTCTTCTGTACCTGTAACAGACTCTTCTGAGTCTGACTGACTCTGCTGTACCTGTAACAGACTCCTCAAAGTCTGAATGACACTGCTGTAAGTGTAACAAACTCTTCTGAGTCTGACGGCTGACTCTGCTGTAAGTGTAATAGACCCTTGTGAGTCTGACTGACTCTGCTGTAAGTGTAATAGGCTCTTTTGAGTCTGACGACTGACACTGCTGTAAGTGTAACAGACTTCTCAAAGTCTGACGGCTGACTCTGTTGTAAGTGTAATAAACTCTTGTGAGTCTGACTGACTCTGCTGTAAGTGTAATAGGCTCTTTTGAGTCTGACTACTGACTCTGCTGTAAGTGTAACAGACTCTTCTGAGTCTGACTGACTCTTCTGTAAGTGTGACAGACTATTCTGAGCCTGACGGCTGATTGCTGTAAGTGTAACAGATTCTTCTGAGCCTGACGGTTGATAGCTGTAAGTGTAACAAAATCCTTTGAGAGTCCACTGACACTAACTTGGCTAAAAATGTGCCATGTCTGATGATCAGCAGATCAAAGTTTTTATAACCAGTATAATTCATTTAAGAACACTTGAAACTAAACTTCAACAATAATAACAATAAATACAGGTTGTTATCTCTTGAAAGAGGTAATAAGATAAATGCATGTGTCAGCTGCATTTCTGAAGCAGAAGCAACAGTTACGTAAGTTTTGATAATAACAGTTAATCATTTAATCAGTCTTGTGTTTTGAAAACCTACTATGATTTATCAAGCCTTTTAGCAGAAAGTGTAAAAACATGAAATGCAAAACAGACCTGATGGTATGTACGTGATATTTGCTGCATATGTGCTTTCACTATATTGATGGAAACTTTCTGACCAGTCTGGTGTCTTGTTAGATTACAGAAGTTTTGATATTACAGCCGTACAAATATGTAAAGAATAGTGTTGCATAATTATTATTAAGTGTATACACTTTTGGAAGTGTCTGGTTGTTTTGGAATTTACTTCAGTCACCATCTCCATCTCCTTTTGGTTACTATCATCTGCCTTTGTGCCCCTCCAGCCCCTTCACTTCTAAGTTCCCTTGCCCCAGGCCCCCCCTCCCATCCCTTCTCCCAGCAAAATCAACCCCCCCCCCCACCACCATTCCCCCTCTGGATCCCACCGATACAGTAAAACGCTACTGTAAAGGTAGATTCTGTTCTGTTTAGGTTAAGTTTTCGTCATTCCTTAAATGTGACTGAGGTAGAAAATATGTGGTACATTAGTTACTTGTGACTTGTAGCTCAGGTCTGGATTGTATCTAGTAAATACCTGGTTCCCCAGAAATTGATTAAATAATCTGACGAAAATAACACACTGAGTAGTGGTATTCTGAATCAGGGAGGTTGCCACTGCCATAAACATATTTTGTCTGACTTGCACTTTTAGAGATACCAAACTGACGAATGACATTTTGAAAAGCGTTTGTTAATTTAGTGTTTTCTTGTAAGAGAAGGAACCAGCTTAATGCACAAATCAGAAACAGGGTTACTTCTATTATTTCATTAGTCATTGTAGCAAAATTTTTTCCAAGCTCTTTGTGCATCAATTATTCCAGTTGTTTAATATTTGAAATTTAAAAAAATACACCAAAAAACCTACAGGTACAGAGTTTGCCAATCCTTGAGTAGCTTACAGGGAAGAATGTTAATACAGGTAACCAAGGTTTCTGGTAGAATTTGATAATCTTGTCTATCTTTACATATTGCTTTAGAAACAGTAGACAGTATGAGTAATTAGATTTATGTCTGTTGTATGTAGTACTAACAATATATAGTCCTGGGTTTATCACTGTGTTTATTGACGTTTGTTGTTTCGTGCACCCTTCTTTAGTTTTAGAAGTACTTTAAAATTCTACAGGGAAATCAATGCAAAACTTTTTCAGGCCTTCCATACTGGATAAAATGTCACCAGGACGTCTTTCTTACTCTCTGGGATATCAGTAGCTATTTTTTGTCACATATAGTGTCAGTGGATGTGGAATTTTTAATATCTATAGAATATTACACACAGTATCAGTGGATGTGGAATATTTAATATCTATAGAATATTACTCACACAGTATCAGTGGATGTGGAATATTTAATACACAGTATCAGTGGATGTGGAATATTTAATATCTATAGAATATTACACACAGTATCAGTGGATGTGGAATATCTACAGAATATTACACACAGTATCAGTGGATGTGAAATATTTAATATCTATAGAATATTACACACATAGTATCAGTGGATGTGGAATATCTACAGAATATTACACACAGTATCAGTGGATGTGAAATATTTAATATCTATAGAATATTACACACACAGTATCAGTGGATGTGAAATATTTAATATCTACAGAATATTACACACAGTATCAGTGGATGTGAAATATTTAATATCTACAGAATATTACACACAGTATCAGTGGATGTGAAATATTTAATATCTACAGAATATTACACACACAGTATCAGTGGATGTGAAATATTTAATATCTATAGAATATTACACACAGTATCAGTGGATGTGAAATATTTAATATCTATATTACACACAGAATATTACACACACACAGTATCAGTGGATGTGGAATATCACACAGAATATTACACACACACAGTATCAGTGGATGTGAAATATTTAATATCTATAGAATATTACACACACAGTATCAGTGGATGTGAAATATTTAATATCTACAGAATATCACACAGTATCAGAATATTACACACACACACAGTATCAGTGGATGTGAAATATTTAATATCTATAGAATATTACACACAGTATCAGTGGATGTGAAATATTTAATATCTACAGAATATTACACACAGTATCAGTGGATGTGAAATATTTAATATCTACACAGTAGAATATTACACACACACACAGTATCAGTGGATGTGAAATATTTAATATCTACAGAATATTACACACACAGTATCAGTGGATGTGAAATATTTAATATCTATAGAATATTACACACACAGTATCAGTGGATGTGAAATATTTAATATCTATAGAATATTACACACACAGTATCAGTGGATGTGAAATATTTAATATCTACAGAATATTACACACAGTATCAGTGGATGTGAAATATTTAATATCTACAGAATATTACACACACAGTATCAGTGGATGTGAATACTCTGATTTTAGTTGGTAAGGAAGATGTCTGAATGGTTGAGGGTCCCCTTGTATGGATTCTGATGTTTCAACAATTTCTGTCATTTGACTTGTTTCCTCTTAAATTGGTTTATTTAACCCTGCAGCAGTACTAACATAGAACAGTACAACAGCCTAATGGAGAGATTCACTTTGTAAGATTCCTGTGTTAGGTGTCAAGTACAGCTGTTGTTGACATGGTAACGCTGAACAGTCCTCATCTTTGTCTTCACAAAGTTTTCAATGTATATCTTCTTTATTAATTATATCGAGAAATGCAAGTGTCATTTCCATCCTAGTGTATGGGTTCAGGAACCTTTGTCAGTATACAACTATATGGTTTGTAAACTTTGAGCATCTCAAAACATACCCATAGACCTATACAACCTCAAATCAAATCTTTATTATGCAGGAGTAACAATATTTGTAAGGGAAACTGTTGTTAAGATTATCATGAAATAATTTTTATCTTAATTGTGTGATCTACTTATGTAACCAAAATTCTCATCTGTTGTTATTTCTGGAGAAGTACTCTATGGATCTTTCTCAAATTCTATATCTAGGTTCCCCCTGGTCTCTAGTTGTGCCTAGTCTGTGTTCAGGGCTGATTGGGTAATAATATTCATTATGATTAAAAATTTCTGGTAGCTTTACATCATGTAACAACTGGTATTGAAATATTTTCTTTGTTTTGTTATGAGATTTGAATTTTGAATTTTATATTTGATTATGGATTAAAACTTTACTACTTAAAACTTATTCCAGAAACTTTACTGATGGATGTAATGTATCATAGGATGAGATTAATAAACTGAAAAACTATAAAACCATCTCTTTTGGTGGGACTCAAATATTTGGATTTCCAATGAATAGTGTTTTGTTGGCACTTGATTTTGTTATTAAATAGTACTCATAAACTCCCATAATACTAAAATTCATACAGAATTTGAACAATCTATCAATTTGTGGACATATGATTTTTAGATTAAGGGTACCCATGAAATCAATGTCTTTGTTTAATATGTTGATGTCATAACAGGTTCAGCGATGAGTGATTACAATTAGATCATCTAGGGCTCCGTAGCACCCTTATTTGTCATATTTATCGGTAAATGACCCAATCTGTTTGTAAATGTTGAAGTTTGTAGATGGTGTTATAGTGTACCACCAGGACAGACCAGTAATTAGAGGCTATGTAAATGGAATCCTAACGATCAAGGCTATCAGCTTCATGATGTACCATAATTCTGTCAGCCACACATACAGTACATTAATTTTATAGCTGCTATTTTCAGTACAATTTTCAGTGCTCATTTTGTGGTAATTGAGAAGGAAATTGCATGAGAGAAAGCGATTATACAAGAAATGTCCTTCTTTGATAACTTAATACATCTGCGTTCTTACTTGAGGACTTGGCGTGAGAAATGATTGAGGTGTAAGGATGAAATGTGCAGGCTTTGTGAGCTTTGTCTTAGGGTCAGTTTACCTCATTTAATCAGGGAGAATGTCTTTTGTTAAGTAGCTTTACAAATTATGCAGCTGTTCTTAATTGTTGCAATAAGTTACCTAGCTGTAGTGAGTGAAAATTTAAATAGGGGAGATAACTGGGGCATTTTGATCACTTAATTATTTCAGAAATAAATGAAAAACTGATACAAAATTGATTCAGACCGATAGATATTGATGTTGGAATGTTGATTCTTTAA